AGTAAACAATTTGGATATAATAAACAGCATTTGCAGTGAATCGGGATGTAGGGAAATTTCACAAAGACCTAAACAAAAATGAGTAAGGCACAATGTAGGTATCTTGTGTAAGGAATTTTTAGTCAAGGAAACAGCCAATTCAAAGGACCTGATGTGAGAGCTTCCTTAGCCTGTTTGAGAAACAGCAAGGAGACCAGTGTGACTGCAAGTCAATGACTCAGATGTAGTATGATAGAAGATGAGGTAACCAGGACAGAAAATGAAGTTGCAGAGAAACAGAAAGTGAGGGAGGCAACCAGGGTCTAGATAGTAAAAACATCGCACTCTTTTAAGTTCATGGACAACCTTTGAAGAGTTTTGAGCAGATCAGTAACTTGCTCAGATTTACATTTTAAAGCAATTACTTTCATTGTTCTGTGGAGAACAGACCATGGGGAGGCAGGACTGAAGCAGGGACACCAGTTGGGGGGCTATTGGGACATTCTAAGCCAAAGATTATGGAAGATCAGGTCGTGACAGTTGAAGTGGTAAGTAATTGAGTTTCATGCCCAGTTTGAAACTGGAGTCAATAAGATTAGCAGATGGGAGGAGTGGGAAAGAGAGATCTAGAATGACCCCAAAGTTTTTAGCAAATATTTGTGGCTATAAGAAAGGAAATGCCATTTGCTGAAAATCTAGGGAGAAGATTGGAGTATGAGCAGATTTAAGGAGTATATCACAAGCTGAGTTTTGAGAGTAAAATTTTGGGTGCTTTTTGTTTCAAGTGGACATACCGAGAGAGCAGGGTTTTTTATTTGTTTGTTTAATGAATCTGAAGTTCAAAGAGAAGGTTTGCACTGTAGGAATAATGGGGGAGGCAATAATTAATTGATGGAATCTACAGCCAGGAGAACTAAATGCAGTAACCTAAGGACTGGATGTGGATAGAGAAAAGATCTGAGAATGAGCTGTGGAACATTCTAATGTTTAGAGTTTGGGATTATAGGAAAGGTCCAGGAAAGAAGATTGTGATGGAGTGGCCAATGAGGTGCAAACAAAAACAAAAGGAGTATAGTGTTTCCAGGAAGTGTCCCTAAAAGAAGGAATCATCTGTATCAAAAGCTGTTGGTTAAGATAAAGATCAAGAATTGGCCATTGGATTTAGCCCCGTAAAGTCACTGATGATGTTGACAAAAATAGTTACAGCGGAATGAGAAGGAAGAATGCCTGATGGAGTGGGGTTCAAGAAATAATGGAGCGCAAAGGAAGTAAAGGTAGCAAATAAGGAAAACTCATTCTTGAACTTTTCCAGGAAAGGAGAACAACAAGTAGAAATAACTAACAGGGATGTATGGGTCCAGAAATCAAACTACAAATATAATTTCTCCAGCTCTTATTTATATTCAAAGTTGTGATCATAATATACAGGTAATCTTGAATTTTATTTTTATTTGACTTTATATCATATAGTTTTCCATATGGCCAATCTTCATAATTGTACTTCTTGATGACTTTATAATATTCCATTTCATGGCCAGCCTCAGTGGCTCAGCAGTTTAGTGCTGCCTTCAGCTCAGGATGGGATCCTGGAGTCCTGGGATTGAGTCCCACGTCAGGCTCCCTGCATGGAGCCTGCTTCTCCCTCTGCGTGTGTCTCTGCCTCTCTCTCTCTCATAATAAATAAAAAAAATCTTTAAAAAAATTCCATTTCATGTATTATTCTATCAAACATTCTTCTCTACTGGGCATTTATGATAATTCCAATTTTTTATTAGACAAGGTAGAAATAAGCTTCTTGATGTAAACAGTTTTTTTCTTCTGTTAGGATTATTTCCTTAGGGTACATTCCTAAAGTAAGATTACTAAGTAAGTGTATAAACGGATTTAATTTACTCTGTTGCTTCTTTAAAGATTTGTGCATTGAAGACTTTTCTCTTATTCCCAGGATCTATTTTGTTAACTTTGAGGCTTCTCACTATGTATCTATGGTTTCCTGTCTCTTTCCTTAAAATCTCTCTGGGCTACCTTATACCTCCTCATCTCTCCTCCTCTCTTACCTTTTCTGGTGACTGTACAAGGACAGAAAAGTATGAAATTTAATATGTCAGTCATAGACAAGTTCCAGAATCTATTAACTTGAATGGGTAGGGTAGGGTTTGCTAGATTAGGGGATCTCAGGCTCTCTGCATACTAATCACTTCAGAACTTTGAAAACTCATGATGTCCAGGTTTCACCTTACATTAGTTAAAATGGACTCTCTGGAGATGGTGCCCAAGTATTCTTAAAAACTCACCAGTTCATTTTAATGAGCAGTCACGTTTGAGAACCAGTGGGTCAGAGCCACTGTGGCAGGAAACCTCTTGTCTTTTTTTTTCCCTCTTTCCCTACAAAGGACAGTCTTTCTGATCAGATTTCCTCTTCAGAATGAGGTTAGCTGGACCTAGCAGCTCTGCTATGCCTGAATCTGAGTCAAGGTTTATCAGCAAGGATCTGAGTGCTTGTAGGTGGTATATAGTATGCAGGGGGCAAATAGCCCCTGGTCCAGGTGAAGCCTACCAGCCTGGTGAGTTAGTGGAGTGCTTGCAAATCTGAGTCCCCAGGTCTTGACTGCTCCTGCTTCCCTTACTTGACCTCCCAGGAGTTAATTTCTGGCCTAGTTTGGTATTTACTATCAGTGGTTTTGGACCATTTGACCCACGGCAACATTTTATTCTCCATTTTTTTTTAAATTGCTGGCAGGATTTTTGCTCTTTTGGCTTCCCTAATATTTGATGCTGTAATTATGTGTTTTGTTTTCATGTTCTCTGGTAGATTTTATGCCGTAGGTTGCCACACTAACCCAGTGCCTGGCACCAGTGGTCTGGAATAAATGTTTATTGAATGAATTAAAGAACAACAGAATGAAAAAAATATTTTATTCTATAAATGGCAATAAAAAAGTTGGATATTAAGTTCCCAATAATAGGCTGTTTTAGACTTTGGGGACCAATTTCTTTAGTGTACCTAACAAACAGGCCTTTCACATATTTAAGTATGTTCTCATCCATCCCTACTTGAAAATTTCTAGGATGTTCTTGTCTTGCTTCTGTTGCTTTTCTGTAAGATGGACTGTGAAGTGAACCCCATTTTCCCGTTGACTTTCATAAAGAACATGAACATGACTTTCTACAGGGAAAAATGACCAACAGAAAAGAAAAATTTCTAGTGGAAAGACGGTCAGTCACCCTTTGACATGGAGGGTGGTGATTCTCATTAGCATTGCTTTCTTTTTTGGAAGAGTTTTGAGGCATTCTGAGATATGCAGGGCCTGCTCCTCCCACCTTGTGTTGTTCCTGATCCTTCAATATCTATAGAACTCATGAATTTCTCTTGCCCCTCACCTTCACTCTTCTAAGAGTTGGTGTCATCTATCTCAGATTGTGAAGTCTGTATAACCTACACTTATTCTTGCCTGAAAATCGTTTGAGCCTATGGGCTCTGAAAAGAAAGGTTTTGTACTGGAATCTTAAGAAATACATTTATTTTAAGAGATGATGGCACTTTGTATTTTTTTCAGCTTCTCTTCAGTATATGTCTCTGCTACTTCATGTTGAGCTTTGGGATTCAGAGGGCAGTCAGGCGGGCATTTCTGGAGTCTGTTATTATAAAGGTGACTCATGTGAGATGGACTTCCAAGTTACTTGGTTATTTTGTAAAGCTCCTTACTGAAGTCATTTAACAAAAATGCCATAAGTGGCTTAAACAATAGGAATTTATTTCTCACAGTTCTGGAGGCTGGGAAGTGCAAGATCAAGGCACAGCACAGGTATATTCAGCTTCTGATAAGAACCCATGTCCTGGCTTGTAGATGGCTGCTGTCTCACTCTGTCTTCAGATACCTTTCCTCCATGTATGCATGGAGAGAAAGCCCTCTCGTGTGTTTCTTATCAAGGCCCTAATCCCAATCATGAGGGCTCCACCTTCATGACCTAATTAACTCTCAAAGGCTTCATCCTCAAATACTGAGGAGTAGGGCTTCACATATGAATTTGCGCGGGGGGGCGGGAATCACAATTCAGTTTATAACATCCCCCATGGTAGAGTGATCGCATGCCCCACTGATGAATGAGATAAAAACAAGAGCAATTTTCTTTTAAAATCAGTAAACTTCCTCTCTTTGTGGTTAACCCAATACAGTGCCTTCCTTAGTAGCTGAGTCCTTTTCAAGCAAATGAGCAAAATTCACAATTAATACATAAATCCACCATGTTTCTGAGGTAGTGTGCCAGAAGAAGGAAGGTGGCATCCTATTCATTATCCCGTTTTAAAGTATTATATTCCCCCCACCCATCCCAATGAAACAGTATGTGTTCCTGAACATCAGATTATTGTACTTATGTTACCCATCACAGCACCTCTGTTTGCCATCAGATGTGACTATGTAGGAGCAGGGAAATCACTCCGTTTGAGGAATGTAGAGCTATATGGGTGAAAGATGTACTGAAGTAGGAAAAGTGTGAATGAGTAGAAATTCATTATGCTTTGAGTACACAGTGACTTAAAGTAAGTTTTGAGAGGCCTCTGCTTTAGAATATAATTTACCCATTACTGATAATACATATGGCTTCAAACAGTCTTTAAAGTACTCTAATACCACTATCCTTCTGCTTAGCTAATTTACTAAGTAAAGGCACCTTTTAATAGGATTTTGGTCTCAACTGTTGTGGGCTGTGCAGTGTTGGGCCTGGATAAATATGGCCTTCCATTGAACAACGTGAGGGATTTTTCTTCCTTTATTTAAAATATGTTTCACAGATGACGGCATCTGTGGATAAAGCTTTTATAGGCCTAATGTCTGTTTTAGTTATGGCTCAGACAAAATTTTCCCAAATATCTATTCTGTTTCTAGAATTTTGATAGGACTAACACCAACCATATCTCCAGGGCTGTGCTTATTTTCTTGCATCCAGAATCTAAATTTGAGATCTCCCCCTTGATGCCTGAAAAGAAAACTGAACTCAGGTGGATCTTTTCCTTCCAGGAGAATGCCGTGAACGGAGAGCACCTGTGGCTGGAGACCAACGTCTCAGGAGACTTATGCTACCTGGGAGAAGAGAACTGCCAAGTCAGATTTGCAGTGAGTGTGCTCCTCCGACCTCTGGGCTCTCACCTTCCCCTGGGAGGGCCGCCAAGTTGAGTCTTCCAGCAGCACAGAGGCCACCGTGCCTGAATCTCCAAGGAGAGATTTGAGAGAGCCTGTACCTTGTGAGACAGTTGACAGTTAATGTGGCTTTCAAGGGGTCGGTTTTAATGGCTTTAGGGCTTGGCTCATTATTTGTTATGGTCGTCTGTGATCAGGGATTATGATTGACTGAAAGCGGAGATAATGGTTAGCATTTGTAACAATGAAGTATTTTTTAAGGTAGGTACTTTTTTTTAGACTTAATGGCATTGCACATTTAATAGACTATAGAATAGTGTAAATCATAACTTTCTTATGCATTGGGAAGCCAGAAGATTCATTTGACTCACTTTATTGTGATACTTTATTGCCGTGGTCGAAAACTGAACCCACAATATCTCTGCCGTATGCCTGAATTCAGATCAAGTTGTGGAGGATAAAATTCTAGAAACTGGACAATTAACAAATACATTGAAATAGCCCATGCTTTTTAAAACTTGCTTTGTATCCCTATTTAGAACCATCAGTATAAATGTCAAGATTGTCTTTATGTTCTGTGAAAAGAGCATGGTTGCCAGGCATTAAGTTGTGAGGAACTAAAATTGTATTAAGAAAGTGAACTTAAATTTTTATGTAATTCAAAATTATTGATTTGGAAAGAGAGTAATGGGAACCCTAGAAGAGTAAGGAAGAAATTTAAAAAAAAAAAAAAAAAAGGGTTCCTTCTTATTTGGGGAAACGGGCCTCATAAATGACATATAATACATTTCTTTTTCTTTTTCATTATGTTTGTTTATTACATGAAAGAAAAATTTGAGGCAAAATGCAGGACTTTGGAATTACAAATGAACATGTTTCTACTAATGACTAATAAGGAAGAAACTGAGTTTTCACTACAGCTTTTAGAAGAATATAGCCCTCAAGGACTTTTATCAGGCTGCCTAGAATTGCAAAGCCGGTGGAACAAGACTTTAAAAACTGAATTAGCTGTTTTGACGACTGGTTTCTAGGTTTTGTTTGGGAGATTTCATAAGAGTTTAGAGGACCAGGGTTGCTTTAAGTGAAGTTAGGAACAAAGATCAGTGACAGGCCCAGCTGTATAGGGAGGGTCTCAATTTGAATCTCACTGTTACCACTCAGATCTTGAGAACTCCTGTCCTTTGGGCACTGGCTACCTTCTTAGAAAAAGAGAGTAGGATGAAATTATTTTAATTTTGCTTCCAACTCAGATCAGTACTTAGTTGTTTTCATTTCTCTTAATCTTGTAAATTCAATTGATTTAAATATTAGGGTTTCAACTTTCTGCATACATATTTTTAATTAAAGTATAATTGCATAAAATTTGATTAAATTAACCGAAAACCCAGAGATGCTCTGCTGTTTGGTCTGAAATGCTGTAAATAATGAATTAACATTAGGATCTTAGTTAATTGCATAAACACTGGTCTTGGAATATCAGATAATATAAAATGGAAAAAAATGAAACAATTTTACTTCCAAATACTTGCTTTTGAACGATTTCTACTGATACTCTAATTTGTTATGGAGTTCTACATCATTTCCAAATTACTCACTTTGATCCTCTTCTGGTAGTCATTTAGGGTCAGTACCTCTCTTGGCATATATATGTAGATAAACCTTACACCTTGGGTAGCATCGTGACCCACCAACTGATTATAACTTGATCACTATTATCTCTATACCAGGGAAAATAAAAAAGAATAAGGGAAATCATAAGTGTAAGTAGGAGACAACAGAGTTGTGAATATTCCTGGTGCTCTTCTGAGTCTTTCTCCAAAGTTCATCTTTAATACTCAGCAATATTAACTCACTTTACAATGTGTCTGGAAGATGAAGAGCTCTCCTCCAAAAAAAAAAAAAAAAAAAGATGAAAGAGGAATGAATCAGTGAGGAAGCAGAAGATCTGTGTTTCCTCATCATAGACTCCTTAAGGCTTAGTTTCTTCTGTGAAGAGAGCAATGTTTGTAGCATTACATGAGATAATGCATTGAAGGAATTTATTTGTAGCAATCGACACAATGAATTAAAAATAAAAAAATAACAGAAAAGGCAGACAATTCACAAAAGAGCTACCAAATGCCAGTATATATGTGAAAAATATTTTTAAAGGTACTCAAAACAATTGTGAGGAGTCAACATCATGTGCCCATTAAATAAGCAAAGATTTGCAAAATGGTAATACCTGTTGGTTAGTTTAAGCCTAAATGGATATTCTCATTGTCAGCTGGTAGGAGTGTAAATTGATATACAGTTAACTCTTGAGCAACAGGTGTTTGAACCATATAGATCCACTTATATGTGAAATACTTCTGAATAATACAGTATAGTAATACAAATGTATTTTCCCTTATGGCTTTCTTAATGTTTTCTATAACTTACTGTATTATAAGCATACAGTATATAACATAGCATACAAAATATGTGTTAATTGACTGTTCATGTTATCAGTAAGGCCTCAGGCCAATAGCACACTATAGTAGTTATGTTTGGGGGAGTCAAAAGTTATGTGTGGGTTTTTGACTGCACAGGAGGTCAGTACCCTTAACCCCTACATCATCCGAGGGTGAACTGCACTGCTGAAATTGTCAGTATGTAATGAAAGCGTTACAAATCTAGTGCTCTCTCTCATTTGGGCATATTTGGTGGGGGGAGGGGACTTTGGCAAGCAGGAAAAGACCTAGAGGAGTGTGAGGAGGTAGTAGGAGAAAGAAGAGTGAAATAACCTGGATTGCAAAAGAATATGAATGAGGGGAAGTAGAGAGAACTGATCTCTTCCAGTGTTTGAAGACCTGCCTCAAAGAAAATGGAAGGGTCTTGCTCTCCATAGTTAGGACAGTAGAACTAAATTCTAGGTGTAGAATCCACTGACTCTAACAGTGAATCTTACATGTTTCATAAACATCACCTGGAAAACCTGTTAACAATGTAGATGACTGTTTCTCTCCTTGCTCCAAATGCTGATTCAATATGCCAGAGTTGGACTTGGGAATCTGTGATTTTAGCAAGCACCTCAAATAACTATGGTGCAGATGGTCCACAGACTTAACTTTGAGAAATACTCTATTATAAGGAAGAACTTTAACAACCAGAACTGTCCAGCAAAGGACCAAGGTATCTGGAGAGATGGGCTCAAATGATGTGTTTACCAACAAGATGGATGACCATCCTTCAAGGATGCTGTGGTGGGGGTAGGGGGTGTGGGGGTGTGCACATATGCTTGGCTAAGAGGTTAGGCAAGTTAATCTTCAAGAGAGGCTCCAGTTTAAATGTTCTATTTGCAGCTTTCTTAGCTGAACAACAGTTTTGTAAGAAAAAAGCATGTGCAAATGGATTATGCATTATATTCTCCTTTCTTTTAATGAAGCATCTTTGAAGATAGCCAACCTGTTGAGATAAAGACCAAATTACCATTACCAGGTACTACCCGGAGGCTTCTAAACAGTGTACAGGCACAGCATTTGGAGGAGGAGTGAGTCCATTCCCAGAGATGTGCCTTTCACTCCTTACCTTATTTTAGCAAAGCAAATGTCATGGGTAGAAGTTAAGAGAAGGGAGAAATCAGTGTGGGTTGAGGTAGACAGAGGCGGCTTCATGGCAGTGGGGCTTGAGCACGGTTTGAAAGATGGGTAAGATTTATGTAAGTGGAGTGGGGCAGGGGAACATTTAGGAACGAAGGGAACATTAGCAAACTCAGAGACAGGAACAAGCTTTGAGCAAGGGAGGAGTCATCATCAGATATGCATGAGCATACCAAAGGGCATGTGTTAGGTAAGAATGGAAATAAGGAAAGATGGGGGCTGTGTGTGTTCATGTCTTCTGAACTGAAACTTGGAGTGAATGTTATAAATGTCTGTGTGCTTATGAAGCATGGCTATATAATAAATCTTCTAACGTAAGATAGTTTTGAGGGTGAAAGAAGCTGCTGGTTATAAGGTGCTGTAACATTAACTATAAACCAGAACTGCATCAGGGACACTGAGGTAGTCACTCTACCTTACAGGGACATTGCAACAGTCTATTTGAAACCAAGGCTATTCTGCAAGTCCAAGACTTCCTGCTACCATATGGACTGATATTTGGGGCTGATATTGGAGGGTATTGAAAGCAAGGCAGTGACATCATAGGACACTAAGACATTTGTAGGAGAGTTTGCTCCAAAGCCTTGGGGCTGAACCAAATGACCTTTAAAATCCTTCATCTTCTGCATTTCTCTAGTGGCAACATTTAATAGTATAGAATGTCTGTGAGCAGAAATTTAATGGGATTAAAGTTGTTCCTAAATCAGCAACAGTCCCCAAATTAGTAACTGTTTCTTTTTCTGGTCTAGAGAGGAGAAAGGGATGCAGCAGTAATGAAATGGGAGCAGAGGGATCACGGTTTCCCAACACAATGATGGGGGGAGAAAAATTGAAATAAAATTCCAATTAGGACCACTCTCATTTGGTGCTATTTATTGAGGAGGACATTTCTTCATTCATTTATTATTCTGTAAGAGTTTATGGGCTGAGTACAGTACCCGAAACTGCAGACAGTGTTGAGAGTGACAGTTAATTGGAAATGACATTATCACGGTCCGGTAGGTGCACTCTGGAGAAACCATTCCCAGGCTTTGTTTATAGTATGTACAAAGACGTTGAGCCAGAGATTTGCTTCTAAAGAAATTCACGCCTCCATTAATAATCAATAGAGCACATTCTAGTGCACACCTATTTTTACACTGAAATGACATTTGCCTACATTGCTATGTAGAGGTACCTAATAACCGTAGTCCTGGTCCGCAACCTGCCTCTATACGAGAGACAGAGATAGGCAATGTGGGAAGTAGGAAGGAAATGGGTTCTGTGAGCCTGACCTGGGTTTGAAAACTTGTTCCGGGGATCCCTCGGTGGCTCAGTGGTTTGGCATCTGCCTTTGGCCCAGGGCGCGATCCTGGA